CGGGGGGGGAGGAGGCTGGAGCAGCTGGCCCGGGGCGGGTGCTGCTGAGAGCTGTCAGCCCGCTGTGCGATGGAAACCACTTCAAGCCGGGGCTGGCTTCTAGCACCGATGGTAGGAAGCGTCAGTGAGTGGAAACGTAACGGCCTCTGCCCGTCCCGCCTGCTTAGCTCTGCCTTTCATTTCCCGAGCCACGGGCGTCTCAGCCCAGGGACAAAACGCGTTGCGTGCTCACTCGGCGCCCCGGGGCTGCGAGGTGGCTCAGGGATCGGACTTAGGAGACACTCCTGTGATGCTGGCTTCTAGCACCGATGGTAGGAAGCGTCAGTGAGTGGAAACGTAACGGCCTCTGCCCGTCCCGCCTGCTTAGCTCTGCCTTTCATTTCCCGAGCCACGGGCGTCTCAGCCCAGGGACAAAACGCGTTGCGTGCTCACTCGGCGCCCCGGGGCTGCGAGGTGGCTCAGGGATCGGACTTAGGAGACACTCCTGTGATTGTTATCGCAGGGCAGGCTGTGTCTCTTCCCGTTGCTTGAGCTGGCAGTGCTCCATAGAGCACTTTTGAAACTGTCATCTTAAAATACCGGTTTATTTAACATTCCTTTACTTGTGTTAAAAATAGCTCAGGATCCGTAACTAGCGTAGTTTTTAAAATGCCACTTAATGCTTACCCGTTAATGCTGTGCGTTTGCTGTTTGTATTTTATTCATCTTGGATACTAAGATGGATTGGTTTCACTTTCTAGCACTTCTACATTACCCAAATACTACTACTGTTTAAAGTTTCCAACACTGATATTTTACTCCAAAAGGACTGTTGACATTTTACGGTGGGAGTAAAGCCTTTATTTGTGTTAAGTTTTGTAATTTTTCCCTATGGATCTTTGAAATGGGACAGGTATTCTCTGTGTAGTACAGGGGTGGGCAATAATTTTTGACGAGGGGCCATTCCAAGATTTTGGAAAGTGGTTGAGGGTTGCACTCTTCCATGATATTAATGGAGGAGGTGCAGAGTCTGGGGTGGAGGTTGGGTGCAGAAGGGAGTTTGGGGAAAGGGACTGAGGTGCAGGAGGGAGAGTGGAGTCAGAGAGGGAGTTTGGGTAAAGGAGGCAGTTGTGACCTAAGGCAGGGGATTGTGATACAGGGGTTTGGTTTGTGACCTAGGGTAGGAGGATTAAGGGGATTGGGGTGCAGGAGGGGGGCAGAGGGCTTGGATATGTTGAATGGAGGGGCAGAGTGTCAGAGGCAGGCTCTGTCCAGGAGACTTACCAGCTAGCAGCCCAGCCAGCCTGCTGAGCTAAATGCATGCAGAACTTAAAACATTTCTCAGCCAATTAGCTAGCATGCCTGCCTGCCTACCATGTGTCTGCACAGCCTGCAGAGCCATGTGCTTGTGTGAATAACTAAGCTGGAGGGGAGAGGGTCATGGGGCTTCGTGTGCTGCCTGTTGTTCAATCAGGCAGCTCCCATTGTCCAGGTTCTGGCCAGAAACTGGACAATGGGTTTGTTCCGGGTGCAGGGTGGCAGCACCTGAAGCCTTGTGCCTCTCCTCTTCCAGATCAGTTTTGAAAGAGAAATGGCCCTGCAGTCACTTTTCTGAGTGGCATGCGGTACTGTAGGCAAGCAGAGGATCCTGCCTGTGGGTCCCCGCTGCATCCAGAGGGCTGACCTGGTGGCTTGATGGGCCGCATCTGGCCAGTGGGCTGTATTTTGCCCAGGCCTGGTGTATTGCCTCATGCTGTACATCTCCAATCTCTTTTAGGGCCTCTAGGTTCTACTAGAATAGTAATATAGTATTTATTTAAACTGGGTGCAGTAAGGTCACTGGAGTGAAATTTTACCTATACACCTGTGACTTTTTAAACCAAAGAATCAATGCTAAAAGTATGATTTCTTTTTGTGAAGATTTTTTGTATTCCTCCTGCTTCCATATGTGATCTGCTTTGGCTTTCAGTTGATTTTTCAGTGAAATTTAAGGTGGTGTTTGAGCTAGTTCGTCCTTAATATTTTTGACTTTCTCCACTTGTCACACCTTGACAACTATAATCAGCGGGAACAAAAAACAGGACTATGTAGCACTTTAAAGATGAGCTTTCGTGGGCCAGACCCATTTCCTCATATCAAATAGTGGAAGAAAATTGTCACAGCCATATATATATACCAAAGGATACAGTTTAAAAAATGAACACACATATGTCTGGCCCACGAAAGCTCATAATCTAATAAACCATCTTGTTAGTCTTTAAAGAGCTACATAGTCCTGTTTTTGGTTTCAGCTACACCAGAGTAACATGGCTATATTTCTATCATAATCAGCTGGGATACTCTACTGCAGTGGTCTCCAATCTTTAAGCACAAGATCACTTTTTCAATTTGTCAGTCCAGGATCTACCTCAGACCCAAATACCTCTGTCCCACCCCTTTGCCGAGGCCCCACCCTCCTCACTCTGTGAAGATGGGATACAGGGGAGGGAGACAGTGACATCAGTGCCTTCCTGCCTGTTTCCCCCACTCTGCACAACAAGCAAGAGGCTCCCAGAGGACTGCTCTGAGGCTCTGTGCAGGAGCAGCAGGGCAGTGATGGGAAGGGCAGCTGATGTGCAGGGACTTGATAGCCTCCCAGCCAAACCAGTCAGGATCACCTGTCAGAGACTCCAAAGATCTACTAGTAGATCCCGATCTACAGGTTGGTGATCACTGCTCTAGTGGATAGATGTAGTAACAGAACTTGAATGCTCAGATGATTTGATGGTTGTAAAGGTCTAGATTAACAACAGTGCCCCAGTTTGAAGAGAGAATGGGGGCAATTTGGTGGAAAGATTAAAGACTAACAGTTTCTAATTAAATAAGAGATTGATAAGTTTATGGTAACAGTCCATATTTCAGTGAGATGCCAAGCCTGTGTAATTTTGCTAGCAGGCTTCTGGTTCTAAGTTATTCAGTCCATACTGCAGAGTGAATATAAACTGCTCCGAAGAAGTACAAACCTTAACTGGCATTCAGAACTATTGTGGACCAGGACATATTTGAATTGTATCCAGAATGTTACTTTAATACAATTTATTTTTTAACTCCTTTAAGTCATTGATGTACTTGCTTGGTCTTGTACCAAAAAATATATTCTTGTTTAATAATATGGTAATTTTTATGTTGCAGTCACCGTTTGGTCTCTGCTGAAACTGATCTTAATTGAAAGGATATATCTGCTATTTACAGCGGTATACATTCAGTCAGGTACATATAGGTCTCCTCTATGGTCATATGTAGGCACTCGCTCAACAGGACACTGGAATGAGACCACAAATTCATTTCATGCAGGTTATGGCCAGACAGTTAGCAGATGGCAAAATGATTATTGGTCCATAGTGATGCAGACTGAATTAGAGATAAAAGTCTCAGTAATCTTCTAAGGATTAGAAGATCACCCTGGTCACCTAGTCTACCATTCTGATAGAACTCAGAGCTTGTACACTTTTTTTGGTTTTGTTTTGCTGCTGCTGTTGTTGCTTTTAAATGCCATACACTTTGACTTGTTGTCTGTATAGTAATATCATTTTGAGGCATCAGGCATAAATGTAGGGTGGATTTTTTTTTAATCCGTTGAAACCGTTTTGGGTAAACAGTCCAAACAGAAAGAGTTCATCCAGTTCCCTCCATCCTCTTCCAGGAGCCCATTGTTAATATATTACCCAATCTGTTGGTGATAACGTGGTGTGAAGAAGATATGTGTGTGTATAATATGTATATAGTGTGGTGGGTCTTTTATTTATGTGATAATTAGGGATGTCAGTGTGCAGATGACTTTACAATTAACCAATAAGCCTGGTCTTACCTGTTAATCCTGCCAACTACATACAATTCTACCCCCGCTTGCTGCCTCTGTGTCAGAGGCAGCAGTGGGGAGGGACCCAGGGGAAACTACCACAAAGCAATCTTTGTCTGGTGGGCCTCAGCTCGCTGTGGACAGGAGCTGCTCTGTGGCAGTAGTCCTTGTCGGCGGGGGGCCGAGCTCCCAATGGACAGATCTGTCCCTGGAAGTGGGGCCGGAAGCACGCTGGCTGCTGGCCCCCCCCTCCAGGGACTATTGAATAGTCATGTAATAGATAAAATTTGATGCAGTTACATGACTATTCAATTACACACTGCCTAACATTCCTAATATTAACACTAGAAAATTTACCTGGCATTTCTTTGGTCCTTAATACAATTCATTTCAATTTTTTTGGAAAATAAAATGAAAATATATATGTTTTATTAAAATCATTGCTCTAGAGGTGAGGGGTTCAATATGCAGGCTGTCCCCAGAGAGAGAGAGAGAGGACACCCAGCCCTCTATCAGGGCAGCAGCTTGGAGCGAAGTTAGAAGCACCTCTCCATGGCCACTGCAGCTCCACTGAACACAGCTGGGGGAGAGAGGCATATCCCATGGCTGGGTCGGGTCCAGGTTCATCTGTCTCCTGCTCTTTCAAGCCAGAGTGAGGAATGCAGCAAATTGTGCACTTTCCCTGCTCCATGATGGGGAACAGCCAGCAATGTTCCTGTATGACTTGGGGGTGGGGGAGCTTCAGTGCCCCCCCCTCTGGTGGGCGCTTTGGTGGAAGTAGATGGACTGTCTTGGATGGCGGGGGAGGGGGAGGGCAGCCCCTTTCACCTGCCTAGTAATTGTCTCTCTTCTCTAGGATTTTTATGAGGTGCAATCCCATTCAAAGCACATCCTAGTTTCCTGGTATATCCAAACTCTTACTTTGCTTTAAATTATGATAAGAGAAAGCTGTGTATTCACTTTGGTGGTCCTAAGTCTCATCATGTAGGAGGAGTTCATGAGCAGACAAATTCTCTCAAATATATACTAGATTTCCCTTTAATTTACATTCTAGTGAAATATCGGAGTGTGGTACAGTCTATAATCCTTTCCCATTTAATTTTTAGATGAAAAGCTACTTGGCATCTTCTGAAAATCTAGGGTTGGCAGTCAAGTGACTCATGTTACCTTATGGTGATTGTTAGCTCTGGTATTAAACTTGGTTCATCTTGACCACTTTGGGTTGATAGGTTGAATTGTTACAGTAGCTGGTCTAACAAAGATAAGTGTTACTCTATACTGTCCTATAAGTCTC